ACCGAGTGATTGCAGATGTTTTTCAATGTGTTTGTTTTCTGCTTTGCGAATTCTGCACCGTGTATAGTGGACACTGCAAAGCTTTCTGGCCATAACTCAGCCTGTGGCGCTTATCCAATCTGCTCTGGAGCTGAATTTGCCTTTTAACAGCTTCTTAATTGTTTAATTGAGAATCGACAACATCAATGCAGTGTAGGGCATACAGAGGCCTATGCGGTGCAATGGAACCCATGTGGTTCAGAACATACACAACAGTAGAATTGCGATTTGTGTCCACTAGGAGGAGCTAACCACTGCATCAAATGCCAATTTTTGCTTACAGTTGCTCAGTACTTCACTGTACCACCTCTTACCATTGCAGTAGAATATGGCCACAAAGCTTTGAACGCTCACTCCTGAAGTAACTGGGCAGATATCGCCCCATCTCTCCAGTACGGCCCCAGTGGCAGGCCCTCGATCCTCAATAACATCCTGTTTCTGTGTCTGTTCACAGCGGGAGCCCAGTGGAAGTTTTACAGCCGCAAAAGACAGAAGGTAAGGAAACCGAGAGATGGATTGTGGGTAAAATTGCACAAAATCCTCACAAAGTCAGTAATGTTGGTAGATCTGAACCTGCAGGACTGCATTTCGAAAAACGGGGTTCAGTGGTGATTGTGGTGCAGTGAACTGGCACAATGGAGAGGGGAAAAACTCCCTTGATTAGAAGGTTTATATAGGAGCAGCCATCAAAAGGTATAACTGGTCCCATGACAGCCAGCGGACAGAGAGAAAAACTCTGACATTAGCTGACCACTCTCTGCACAGCCCCGTGTCTGAGCTGCCCTTCATACATTAAAGCCGTTGTCAGTGACCAGAGCACTGTCTCTCCTGCCACTGGATGGGGGTGGGACTGGTGGGGGGGACATTTCCAGAATTAGAAAACTTCCACAGTGGGGATATTTCATCTCCAGAAGAGATTTTCCCTATTCTGGGAATAACCAAGGAAAGAGGGTTGTGTCAGATTATAGATTATAGACTAACAGACTCGGGTAATACTGTGACCTGCCCTCCTCTTGCCCTCAGCTCATTCTGCACCATCACTACTCCCTGCAGGACGGGCCTCCCCTCAATCCACATGGGCCTCCTGGGGAGATCTCTTAAACTCACACAGCTTCCAAGTCTTTACTAAGTGACCCCGATAAATAAAGCCACTCACTCCAAGTGCAGGGAGTTCACTGGATCAGCCTGGACCAGGTCACTATCTGACTGTGCCCAGGATTTCCTAAGCGACAGTGCAGGGGGTGTTTGAGCCTGGATCAGGTCCGATTATCCGATTGTGATATCCCATGATATCCCAAGCAGCGGAGCATAACGGGCTCAGTTGAGCCTGAAGCAGGGTTAGGATTAGACAGCCAGGGCTGTCGTGGGTGGACGGATTCTAGGTGCCTCTGTGCCTCTGCTCCTGTGTTGCAGTGCCGCCTCAGACCGTATAAGCGGAGAGCAGGAGCTGGGGGAAGGGAAGAGCTGCCCATCTGCAGATACGCACCAGAACGATGGAGGAGGAGTCCAGGCCGCTGGCAGCCCTCTGTCCACCCCGACACCCAGACAGGACACCGGGACCTCCTGATAAACATCTCCTCTTTAGCGAAAACCGGAAAGCTTTGTCAGTTGGTCAATTTTAATTCGTTATATGGCACCCTTTCATAGTGAATTGTGAAGGATTTATCCCAGGCTGTTTACAACAGCGTCTACAGTAAGTATAAAAGTAAGGAATACTGAGGAATGAAGGATTACGTTAAAAAAAGTGAGAATCCTGAAGCCTGTTACTTATCCTTGCAGAAGAGTCCAGCTTCCTCCCAGGTATAGCAAGGAGGTTCAAGTGGTCTTGGGCCCAAATACAACTACTTTCGGACCCGGTTAACGCTCTCCCTGGTGACCACAGTATCTGCTGCTATTCATTCTAGCTGGACTCTCTGTGGCCTCGTTGAACCCGTGACCAGTCTCCTCAATGGTGCCTGCTCTGAAAAGACGTTGCAGCCTTCAGGTATTGTTTATATAGGTGCATTTTAAAATCTCCTTCATGGTTTCAGAGCTGAAAATGAATTCTAATTGATTGTAAATCCTTAGATGAGCCTGGGGGTCACTTGTACAAGAAGAGCTCAGCTAGAACAAAAAGCAACAGAAATCTGGGGTCACCAGGACCTGGCTGGGGAAACCCTACCAAAGAGCTCTGATATGAATTTGGCTTCCTTTGCTCTCTGTGAGGCACAGCTGGATTTCCTGTAACATGTAATATCACAGAAACCCACATCTCGGTGCTCAGAATCTGATTGTCTGCGTGTGTTAAAGTGCAGATTCTGCCCAGTGGCCAAGATGCATGCAAGGTTTAACACAGTGCAAGGTTGAGAGGTTCGCACTTTTCTTGCCGCTGAATAAGAATAGATCAGAAACTTGTCTCAATCCACCCAAATATTTACTGCAGTCTTACAAAACCCAGCATTCTACTTTGTTTTAAAACAAAACTTTCAAAGCTCACTGCACAGTGCTAAACACACACAGCTGACCTCGGCTGTAGGCAGGAACGTTCTCTATCCATCGGCTGGGTCCACTCGCTCTCACAACAGACAGCTCTGATCCAGGAAGCCAGAATGTTTGGAGTCAATCTTGCCATTAAAAATAAACTCAAATCTTCCCACCACCCACCCAGCAAAATCAAAGCCCAAACGTTATCTTGCATCTGGAATTGTTGGAAGTTTGGGATTTGGAATTTGCAGTTTTTGCAAATGGGTGAATGTGGATTAAATCCCATTTCTAGTTAGGGAACTATAACCCCTCCTGTTTCTGTTGATTTCACATTATGACCTAGTGGTGACCATTATCAGAAAAACAAAAACTCTCTATATATACTAAAATGTGACAGTATAGATGTGGTGGTTGCTGGGGAGCCAGTGGTGTAAAGCCCTATGTGTGGAATTATGACTGGACACCTGTAAGACAGAGTCTACACGAGCGACCACACAACCCACTGAATCGCAGCCCCATGTTCTAACTTCACTTTCCAGCTGTGTGGAAGACAGGCGCTACATGTCAACATGAAGTAAACTTAAACTGAACAGGTCAGCAAACATGAGGCTGGTTCCCTGCCGATTCCTAGTGCTCTGTTTCCCTCTAGACCTGTTCTGACTGAAATGTGTTGAAGTTCTGAGGGAAACGGAGCACCAGCTGGTCTGATCGTTTGGACAGCGCTGGGCTGAGGGGCCGTGGGCAGGACACTGGATCTTCACTCGGGGGGTGGAGGGCTCGGATCCCAGACAGGATGCCGTGGTTGTGCAATCCCCAGCTGACACACCGGCTGGCCTCTGGACTCTCATCCTCACAGTAGTTCACGCAGGGAGCGGCAAAGGAACAAGTAAAGGTTTATTCCTGCTGAAAAGAGCAGAAAGGAAATGCAACGTTTCGGCTGTGGAGCCTGGTGTCACACCCGAAGAAGGATGGATTAAACCTTTACTTGTTCCTTTTTCGTCCTTAAAGATCTTGCTACTTACTGACTCCTCTGATTCACAAAGGGTAATCTGCCTAAATCTTTAAAAAATGCAGGATGAATTTGAACCATTTATATATATATATTCCTACAGCTACATATTGGCTGAATCTGTCCTTCAATAAAAACTGCTGATGGAGGGGAAATTCCATCTCGGGCTTTCCTGGGATATCACCAGGGAGAGCGTCGAAACATGCATGCTGACTATTTGTGTTTGAAAAAGAATCCCCGTTGGCTTTTTCCTCCTTTTCTCCGGGATCCCTGTGTGGCAGATGTGAAAAAGCAGGGAGAGGGCCTGTTTTCTCTGGACTGAGGGGCTAGCCCCCCCCACCTCCAGTCTGCCTCTGTCTGTCCGCTCTGTGACCATTGCATGAAGACCTAGAAACAGAAATAAAGTAATCATAGCACTTTTTAAAGTGAGAAATGGATGCAATAGTGACTTATCTACCTGTGTGCGTGAACTGCTGAAGGCAGGGAGTGTATGTGATTGAGAAGCCTATATATATATATCAAAAATAGAAAAGAATAACTTCTCTTCTTTTCCTCGTGATGTTTAATTGCTCTTTTTACCTGGTTGTGACCGTGTCAGTCTCAGCTCGACCTGTATATTCCAGGCCGCAGTCCGGATTCTTTTTTTTCTACAAGACCCACAAAAGCCACCAAACAAATGAACAGGGATTTGAAATCTATTCCGTGTTGCAAAGTATTGTACAATAAAGGGATGTTTTGTTGTTGCCCCGGCTCATGGCGTCTCTCTTGTGCGCTGGTGTGGTGAGAAGGAAAAGCACGCGTGTGCTGTGGGGGAGCTCCTTGACTCGGTGCAGCAGGAGTTCTGCTGCCTCCTGCAGTGTGCTGTTTGAGCGGGCGGGAGCGTGGCTGGGCAGCTCACTCGCTCGGCTGCTGGACCGAGTCACTGGGCGGCGGCACCCTGAGAGAAGAGATACAAGCTTTCCCAGCAGGGGAGGGGCCGTGGAAGGTGGTGTTGATTGGCAGCACGACGAGCTTTTTAAGAAAAACAAACATATATTCATAAGCAACTAACAAAACAGCTGAGTCATATCAGCAGGGGTAAGAGAGACTGAGGTCATGGGTCCCCTGAGATCAGGGGGTGATGTGTTTTGGTTTTTCTTTGGTTGAATGAAGGGGGAGGTTAGAGTATTGGTCTGCAGTAAGAAACCGTCCAGGGCCTGTGTAGCTACACCCTGTTACATTCTGTGATGACGTGTAACATTCTGCCAAGAGCTCTACCAATCTATTAAAAATGTAATTAGAGCACACCATGATAAACTGTGGTATATACTGTAGTATAGTATACAGTAACACTGTGGTAAACTGTAGTATACTATAACAGTGTAGTAAACTGTGGTATGTACTGACAGACCCCACACCCCACTCAGACAGGCCCCACTCGCACAGACCCCAAGCTCCACTCAGACAGACCCCCACACTCCACTCAGAAAGACCCAACGCTTCACTCAGGTGTGTTGAAAGATGGAAGACTTTAATGCTGACAATGAAGCAGTAGATTGTTCCACACAAGTTTACATTCAGTAAGAGAGAGCAGCAGGCTTATCGAGCACCGTGCCAATGGTACAGTCTAATATTCCCTCTGCTACATCAAGAAAATCCAGAAACACAGAACTTCTGCACTGACACAGGTCCCTGCGTCTGTGTTTACATCAGCAGGACATTCTGCAGTTTAAACAGTCACTGACTATTGGATCTTTTCTCAATAACAGGAGTTTCATAATTCACAACCTACCAAAATAACCTCACATTCTTTCTGGATAAACAACAGGAATAATCTAACATTCTTTCTGGATAAACAACAGGAATAATCTGACATTCCAAGGAAAAAGTACTGGAATGATCCACCTGGTGAATTATAATAAACAAAATAATTGAAACTGCTCATCAGTGTAAGTACCAGAGGAAAAACATTGCACAAATGTTGACAATGAGCTACCCTCTAGCACTCTGGCCAAATCCCACAGGGCCCTCTAATTTGATTTCTGGGTATGTATGCACCGTCGCACATGATTCCTCAGGGACAGATGTCTGCTGTCATTTTGTTTTTCTCTAGTATTAAAATGAAGAGGTGGTTCATTTCTGAAGCCATAATGTGCTAATTTATTTACCGAGAAACAGGCTAAGTGGTATTGCAGTAAACTGACTCACCTTTTACTGTCTTACAATCTGCCCAGCTAACGCATCATCACGTGACATTTTGTTGTGCTAATCGAGATGATGCAACAGTTTTTTTCTGAGCCGAGTAGCTTGCTGCTTACTTCCCCTCAGCCGTCTCCTGAGCACAGCTCACAGCGGCCGGGGGCGGAGGGGAGGGGTCGCTGCGCCCCCATGAATCCCCTCGCCTCTCCGCCCGCCATGCGCTCACTGGGACTTTTTCCATCTGAGTCCAGCAAGTTACATCACCCTGAAGATGAGGGGTCATCTGCTCAGCTACAGCAGGGATCTGAAATGTTAGTGACTATTCACAAAGAGACTTTCAAGACCTTGTTTCTTCAGAAAAACATTAGTCAGCTTCATGACAGGAATAATGCCCCTGACTTAAACAGCGAGTGTTATTATTAATAGCAATGATGAGCACTGAAGGTTTACCCACACAGCAGGGTGAACATTCGCCACTTGCTTACTGAAGAACCAAATACAGCTGATCCCTCCAAAAAAAAGAGAAGAGTCAGAAAATGTTCCTTAATTTCTGAACCAGGTTGCACGTGATAACTCATTAATTAGGACTAATTAACCCATTTATGATGCCTGAGCATATGATGTGTGGTTTCTGGCACCACTGACTAGACTAGAGCTTATTCAGTACATCAGGCATTCATGACATGAAACAGATTAAAGCACCATGACAGTACATTCTTCAGCAATATTTGTTTAATGTTTGTATGTATCTGAAGCCACTGACAGAAGCTTATTATATCAACCAAATAACCAAACGTTATGAGCCTTTTTCTTTTTGTATTACTGCCTTCTGAAACCTTGAAGCACATTTTCTTCAAAAGAACCTGTTTCCTTAAACTCTGTGAACGAGAAGCTCCTACTCTGACCTGCCTGGCTCAAATAAATCTATAAACAACTGGCACCTGTCAGTCTTGAGATCCCCCCTACCCTTACTTCCACTTACTCAGGAGAACAAGACTTTCTAGACCTCATAGCATTAACAGTGAACAGAAAGAAAAATATAGTGCTCACGCAAGAGACATACTGTAACTAAAATTAACCCAGATCACAGACCACAATTATCTGAAATAAATATGTTTTCTTATGAAAAAGTAAAATACATTAAGCTTAAACACTGACGAACTGATGCAGCACGTCTCGTGCTTCTTAAAAAAATGACACCACTGGTGAACCAATATGGTCGCTGTGATAGTGTTGGGAAGTTTTTGTTTCTACAAAAATGGCAGAGGAACCTGCCCGAGATGAATCACTGATCGACCCAGGGGCTGCTCCCTCTAACTATCACTCACCGATTTCACAGAAATCACGCTCGCTCAGAGAGCTGGGGGGAATCACAGAGGCACACAGAGACGGCGAGGGGGTGAACTACTTGTTTAGGGGGCTGCACAGGGGGTATAGCCCCAGTAAAGCACCCCAACTGCGGCCTACGTACCCCAAGATACAAGGGGACTGACAGGTTAAGAACTCCAGTCCCTGATCGAAACACAAGGTCTGGTCCATTTCCTGTAACAGGGGTGTCCTTTAGATCTCCACATCTGGAGAAGCGTGTTTAAGCAAGACAAGTCATGTCAGGGAAATATCCTGATTTGATCTTAAAAAGATCACATGGATGAATATGTTCATTCCAATGGATCATTTTTCTTTTCAGTGAAAGAGAAGTCCGTGCGCTCTTAGTTTGCCCCTGCTGAGGGGCCAATTCGAGCACAGAAAGGACCAGGGCCAGTCTGTTCATCCTTCCCTGTTCGTGCGTTTCTGCAGCAGGAGCGGAAGGAACCCCACAGGCTCTGTGCGCCCCAAGTTCCCACCTCCCCCTGTCCTAATGGCAAGACAGCGCTGACCAGAGGGGAGCCTACAGGACGTCCAGCCCGGTCCGTGACAGACAGGGCAGCGGCCAGAAACTCCACCTCCACCATCCTCATCCTCATCCCGGCCCAGCTTCGCCCAGAGACTCTGCCGGCAATGTGCCGGCACCTCCAGGCTCCCCGCGGAACAGTGGCTCAGACGGGGTGGGGTCTGAAGGGAGCTGTGGCCCCGGAGATGAGGGGAGTTTCCCGCCCCCAGTCTCCCCTCCGCAGGCAGCGTCTGCGCCATGGAAACGTTAAGGATCCACTCCCTCTCCAGGTGACCAGCCTGCCTTTTTCCTGCCGTTTTTCCCTCCAGCACGTTCCTAAGTAGTCGGAACTGTGACTTTTGTTTCCCCGCACGCCAATCGGAGGGAGAGGTTGTGCCTGGGCCAACGACAAGGAACCCCACAGGGGGTTCCCTGTCCGGCGAGCTCGCGCCAGACCCGGGCTGCAGGCTCAGGGCTGTCCCCACTTCACAGGCAGGTGGATCTCGCAGGAGAGGAGAGGAGAGGCAGGACTCATCAGCCTGCTCTTCAAGGCTTTCGTTTCTCAAATGCAATTTCAAAAGGAAATTGTAAGATGGGAGTAAGCTTTAAGTACAGAAAAGTTACTTAATGCAATTACTCTGCAAGACGCTTGTAGATTTAGGCATTAGAGTTCCCTGAGCCTGTTACCAGCTGTGTGGAATCCCCCACTTTAAGCAGAAGTTAAAAGCAAGATAAGTTACCTGTACGTTGACAGCACTCTAAAGCTACAACACTCTAGAAGCTGGAGAAGATGGGTTTGTACGTTATTATTATTATTTGTGAGTTACAGTTATTATCAGACCTTTCCTCCTTTTATTTCTGCTCCTTTAAAATGAGGATTCGGGTTCGGCTGGTAAGAGGCTGTGCCAGTTAGCCACCAAGCTCAGTATTAATGATAAATCATCAAAATGCACATTCGTTAATGAGAAAATAAATGCTACCATACTTGCTAGATTACTGCAATGCAGCCAGTTAGACGATGCCAGCCGCACACCATCACAACTCTCCAAGAGTCTGGACGGGTCTGTTGATTGTTGCCTTAATTAGAATTCTGGGTTTCGAATTGTAGATTAGGAGACGCCTTTTATAGCAAGCGTTTAACAAAATCACTCAAAATCACTGTCACTCAAGTAATAATAAAGAATGACCTGCCTAACTGCTGTTTCCTATTTCAAAGTTTCTAAATCTTGAGAAATTGTATCTACAAATGAATGTTATTGAAACCGGAAGCGCGAGAACCCTTAAAGAGAGGAGGCGTGCCTTGCCGACATCATATACAAACCAAAATAAAACAGCGTATTAATTCCTAAACGGAATAGCGATTAATGACACCAGTTTTCAAACAACAGAAAACATGCATTATAAAAACTGCTGATACCATTAAATATTGTATAAATTAAGGGTAGCAGATTAGCTTTTGAATAAATTAGAAGCGCTCTGACTGAGAAGTTCCTCCCACGAAGGTACTGTACGGTTGCCCTCCACCAGGGAGAGGCGGAGGGATACGCTGGGACTCATAAAGTAGTCCAGGTCTGTCTGTGGTCCTATGAGGATACAATTCGCCGACGAGAAGATGTGGCTCTTCCCTTCTTCAGAATAAGTTTGAGCTGGGGGACAGAAGGAGGTAATTAATACAGACACACTGACTGGACACTCCAGTACATTAACACTGCACTGAGAGAGAGAGGGGTTAATACAGACACACTGACTGGACACTCCAGTACATTTACACTGCACTGAGAGAGAGGGGTT